TGTGCCAAAATGAGATAGCCTCCTGAGATAGCTAAAAACGGATTGGTTTATGCAACTTAATTCATTTGACCACGAACAACAATATTACCGGTAATCAGAATACTCTGTTTAAACTAGTCATGCCGCATAGAACATATTGTAAAGAAAATGTTTGAGTGGACTTCCCCTTTAAGTTAAAAAAACAAAAAGGTGCATCCTCCACACATTTACTGGCCAGCTGGTCACTAGTGTGAGGCGCCAGCAGAGAACTTAACATCTCAAAATCAACGCTTTTTTTATTTGATCACTTATCAACTGTTGGATTTTAAATCATGGCTAATGCCGATGTGCGCCCAAATGCCGGATAATCGGTCGACCACTACTCCAAAGTAACTTGCCTAACTACCGGTAATGTTCAAATTTCTGCTTTCCTGCACTTTCATCATCTGTCCTCCATTTTTTTATAACTGGGGGAAAGTTTTTTTTTTCTTTTTTTTTTTAGCTCTTGCCTGTTGATACATTTCTCACAGAGAATTGTGGTCTCTTTACATCACCTTTGCAGCCCACCTGACATTTCCGCATGGATTCAATGTCATACATGATTCAAACTCTCCCTTTCTCTCATTCCACACCGATCTCCCTGTGCCCGCCCGCAATGCATTGAGCCCATCAACTCAACAAATAACGATGTAGGCCACTGAAATATTCATCTTTTCAACGAAATTAAATGGTCTGCACACGTTTCACGCAATAACAGGACCCTAGTATGAAGCGCAGCCTCCTGTTTCCATGGAGACTTCATAGGATCCCCCCCTCAACTGCGCTCATTCTCAAACACTCTTGTCAATATGTTTCCCCTGCGAGAAAACATATTTGAGGCTACTTTCCGAGATCTGGCTGTGTCGTCAAAGGTGATCTGATCGTGATAACAACCTCCGCTCCAAGCTGGCTGGCCGCATGTGCAAAATGTGCCATCACGCACCCATGCAATGAGGAGTCTGTGGAGAGCGCGGCTAAATTTAGGTGCGGCAATATGTAGACCAGGTGTAATGAACCTCGCCAGTTGGATTCAACGCAAGTGGATCTGGATGGACCACTGACGAACCCGTTATAAATGTCTGCATACGTTGTTGGTCTTTTACAGTTCTTTTGCCAAAAGGAGAGGGATTTTGTACCTTTTTGGATCACTCAAATCATTCCAATTAAAGTGAAGCTGCTACCATGCCCGCAAAGCTTTCTGTGAAAATGCATCTCAAATTTGCAACGATGCCAGCACAGAAGGGCAAAGAGGAAAAGTTTGATGAGAGGGAATTGGAACTCATGATACACATGCCTGATTAGTACAGTAAGGAGAAGAACGGATTGGGCGCTACATCTGGTTCATTTTAAAGGACACATATTAAGGAAAATGAACTTTTTAATCAGTTGCTTGTGCATAAATAACAGCGGTGCCTTGGAATACAAGTGATCCGACTTCAATGTTTTTCGAGATACCAGCTGTCATTTGACTGAATTTTTGCTTTGCCGTGCGAGCCCAAACAAGAAATAAAAGTGCTTTATGGTAGCAGTAAACCCACTTGTCAATAAGCAGCGATTTGGCAAAAAAAATAATAAACAAAAAGAGGCTTCAAGCTGTTGAATACCACTTCCAGTTGAGGTTTACAATCAAACTTAACTTAAAACAAAGGCAAAATCACATTGTACACTGTGTAACATTAAGTATAACCAAACAATGTTGCTTTCAGAATGGGCACCTAGCGCCAACATACCCTATAATGGAAAACGCCACCGACATGCTAACAGTTTCAACAGTCGTGGTTCTAGAGTCCTTGAGGCAGATGATGTTTGAGCACAAACAGTGGAGCAACACATGTAGACAGGTAATTGAACAATACTCACAAGTATTTTAAACCCTCGACAAAAATTGGCTAATATTACAGCATCAGTTGTAGAAATTAGCGGCACATATTTGATTGCTAGGAGAAGCTGTCAACATGGTGGGGGTGGGCAGTGTTTGTTGTGATCACGTTGCTTTTTTTTTTTTTTTTTTTTTGTCTTCAAGATCCCGGGAACTGTTTTCAATGGTGAAAATCATACATAATATGTCTCCTTTAAGGGGAGGGACTCACATGCATGGTTAATTTAATTTTACACTTTCATAACTTGTAGGAATGTTAAAATGTTACTTAAAACTTTGGTTGTAGCGTTAAGGTTGTTGGTAAAGTTTTCCATTTTGCCATTTGTTGTCAAGTTAAGAAATTTTATTACTTTTGTTTATTTAAAAACTAGCTTATTTCTAATGAGAGAAATGCTTGAAAGTTCCTTAAAACATTGTCTGTGCACTTAATAAAACTTGCTTTTTGTTATGATGGGGACATTTGACTCTGGTATAAATAATTTCTTCTCCCTCTATTTCCTATCGGAGAAATGAATCAACCCAATAGCGAATGTGTTAGAAGGGGGAGCTCATTAAATCACTGTGTTTGCCTCTCTGAACAATTTCACTGGTTGTTAAGAAAGTTTGAATTGAAGTCACCAAAGCAAAGTAAAGAGCCATTTGGATTCCAATAAAGAAACAAATACAAATAAAATAAAATAAAAAATATTCATGTCGGCCTCAAGCACCGTTTAAATCTTGCAATTCTCAGCTGAACGATCGAGCAGCAGGCGGATCCATCGAGGCCTGCTCATTTCTTTACATAACACAGCAGGGGAGCGTTGGGTTGGCCTTCATTTTCTACTTCTTGGATTCTATCCTTTCTTTTTTCTGCACTCTCGCCAACTCCGGATCAATTTTCTCTTTCCCAACATACTTTCAGTCATTCCGTTTTAATTCGAGGTCATCCCTATGAATGCTGTAGATTTCTTTGCAAATCAATAAGCACATGTTATTATGATCTTGATCAAGTTTTCTCCAAACTTTTTCAGCCCAAGACCCAAATTAGAAACATGGTTCTGCCCTGGATTCAAATGTATTTGAGATTCATAAGGTAGATGTGAGTCAATGGTTTGAAGTCTCACTGATGCAAGAACAAACACTCGTGGTACTCTGAGTCGCGTTGACCGCGTGTTAATTTGTGTTCCGTTTTTGTGTTCCGGTTTATTGCGCTGCACTCTGCAAAAGGCCACAGCGAGCTTTGTTGTTTTAATTACCTTTTCACAGATGGATACGAAAAGAAACTAAAAATGAAATATCTTTTTTTTTTTCACAGCCGTCATTTTGACAGAAAAAGCCGACAAATAGGGTTGAAAATAAAACGACCAAGCTGATTCCCATCACTCAAGTTAACCACAATAGAACTGTTGTGAGAATCTAGATAAATATGCAATACTAATTTATTAAAAGTCGTAAATGTTCACCGCCTCCAAAGTATCATAATGATACCATCCATCTTTTGTCACGTTCCATGTACACCAGGAAGTAGCTTTCTAAGAAGACAAATACCCACATAATATTCAAAGTTAGCAAGCGCGGTGTGTTAGCATATCTGCCTCACAGTTGACAGGTTCTGAGTTTGAATCTCTTGTGCGTGGCGCCTGCAAGTTCTTCTCTTGTCTGACTTCCTCCTACGTTTCGAAAACATGCACGTTCGAGTCTTCGAAGGTTCTCAATTGTCCAGAATAGTGAATGTGAGTGGGAACGGTATTGTGCCCTGTGACTGGCAACGAACCAGGCTACCAGTTTGTGTTGTATTCCGACTCTTGCCAAAATCAGCCGCAATAAGCTCCAGCTCACCAGACTTGATTGAAGGCAAACTCCATACAAAATTAAAAAGATGGTAATTACCAAGGGTGGCATGATAGACGAGTGTTTTGCGCATCTGCCTCACAGTTTGGAGGGTGGGGGTTCAAGTCTGGGCTCCGGACTTTCTTTGTGGAGTTGGTGATCTTTGGCTTCCTCCCACACTCCAAAAACATGCATGCTAGGAAGACTTTAAATTGTCCTTTAGTTTGAATGTGAGTGATAAGTGTTTTTTGGGGGATTTTTGCGCGCGCGCGCGTGTGTGTGTGTGTGTGTGTGTGTGTGTGTGTGTGTGTGTGTGTGTGTGTGTGTGTGTGTGTGTGTGTGTGCGTGTGTGTGTGCTCGGTGATTGACTGGCAACCAGTCTAGGATGGGCTTCGAAAATGGCTGGATCCTTACTATTGTTTTGCTTCCAATAAGCTATCAAGTGGCAGCTGCTGAACCGAAATTGCGTTTTTACAGTCGGCCCCCAAAACTATTGGAACACTCAATTCCTTTGTTTGTGTTGTATACCGAAGACATTTGGGTTTCAGATTAAAAGATGAAAATGAGACAAACGTTCAGAATTCCAGCTCTTATGTGATGGTATTTACATCAAGATGTGTAAAACAACTGCGGACAGAGCATCTTTTGTTTGAACCCAGCAACTTTTCAAGTGAGCAAAAGTATTGGAACATATGACTGATGGGTGTTTGTAGTTGCTCAGGTCTTGTCCTTCAGATTGATTGCTTAAACATTAGATTTAGCTTATTCTTGCCTTTGGGTTTTGCCTGCATTTGCTGTTAGGCAAAACGCGAAGATCAGTAAGCAGTCGATGGGAGAAAAGCAAAGCATTTTGAAGCTGAAAAAAGAGGGAAAATCGATCGCAGCTATTTCCCAAACAATGGGCAGAGCCAATAGAACAGTTTGGAATGTTCAGAAAAAAAAAGTAACGACTGGTGTACTGAGCAATAGACAATCGAACGGCCATAGGTATCAAAAGCAGTACTGAAAAAGTACTGAGATGAGACACAAACGTTTTCGAACAAAGTTTTATGGACTAATGAGACCAGGATTCACCTCTACCAAAGTGATGAAAAGGCCAAAGCATGGAGAAAGAAAGAATCTGTTTATGGTTCAAACCACACACGCTTATCTGTTTAACATGGTTAAGGTTATGTCAAGGCTAAGGCTTGCATGATGGTAGTAGCAAAATGAATTCTGGAGTCCATAAAACCATTTTGTCCGGCAATTTACAGAATGCATCCAAATTGATCGGGAAAAGCTTCATTGTGCAACAGGACGATGACCCAAAATACACTGCCAACCAAACAAAGCACTTCATCAGGAGGGAAAATGGAAGGTCTTGGATTGGCCAAGTCAATCTCCAGACCTCAATCCAACAGAGCATGCATTTCACCTCCTGAAGAGGAGACTGAAGGGACAACTCCCCAGAAACAAACAAGAACTGAAAGAGGCTGCAGCAAAGGCCTGGAAAAGCATCGCAAATGAAAAATGAAACCGTCTGGTGAAGTCAATGGGGCGCAGACTTGATGCGCTTCTTGCAAGTAGGGGTTATGCCACCAAATATGAAATGTTATTCACTTTAAGTTAATGTACAGTCATGATGTCTCATCAGACTTTTGCTGACTTGAAATGAGGGGAGCTTCAACCAAAATGTGCTCTGTACTATGAAATAAAAGCTGTAATTCTGTCTCATATTCATCTTTTGATCTGAACCCAAATGTCTTTAGTGTACAACAAAAACAAAGGAAGTGACCATAGCATTACAGTACTTTTGGAGGGGACCGTATACCGAAATGTAAATTTTGTTATGCACAATTAAAATACATATTCTCCCCTCCTCAAAAAAATATTTTGATAGAGATGCCAAACTATAGTTTTTGACTTTTTGACGTGCACTCCCAAAGACACAAATACATTTTAGTGGTTCAATTTCATGCTCGATGAATTTACAACATGCCAAAGAAGCCCACTGAGCCAGTCCTCACATGGGTACAGAGTATAAAGTGAGGATTTCAGTTTGTATAACTTGTCATTCCTGTTCAAAGATGCGAACATGAAAGAGTTCACATCAAAGCACTTTAGGATGCATTTGGCCTCTCTGGCGGTGGTCTTTTTATAACAGGTGGACTATCGCCATACTGCATCCTCCATTATTTCACCGTTGTTTTTTTTTTTTTCATTATTACGGATTGACGTGTATGATCGAACTTGACCTATCACTGAGCTCCTGGCCTATATTTGCTACTCACACATGCAAATCGTGACCTCTCCCACCAGTGGGTGGGTATCTGGTGGTGTCCCGCACGGCTGAGGCAGGGGGGGAGGTTACGACATGCAGATTAAGTTTTCAAAGGAAAGTGCCGTTTGTTCAACTGGCGAAGTTAGCCGGACTTTTGAGATGAAGAAAAATATTGATTGTCATATTATTATTATTGTTTTTTTTATATTAATAGTATAGTTTAAGCATTTCGGGGTGACATAAGAGGCGCCCGAAGTGTGTATTTATATATTCATTGATTAATGAGATACATTGTGCCACAGCACAAAGCCGTGCCTGCTTCCTCCACAGTGCCCGCCCATTCGGCTTTTACTGGGGCCGATAGTAGGAGATTGATTACGTCTCCGGGATTTTCTGCGGAAGGAACACACAGACTGAGATTTGCTCTCTTATCAACGGAACAAAAAAAAAAGACGTGGGGGAAAAAACCCTAACAAGGACTTAATGCAGCGTCTTTTTAATTTTTTTTTTTAATACTTGGGTTGGTCCACGTCCCGTGTCGTGCGCTGTTCCAAAGAAAGAGTCGTGCAGGACTTGGAAGTGAGTGAGCCGGAGCTCCGCCGCAGTCTTTGGATGTGTGGCGGTCGTACGCCGGGGAGTGGGTTGGGTCGCCCGGGTGCCTGGCGTAGGTCCTCGGCGATAAGGTGAGCGGAAGAAAGGACTCCCAGTTCTTTTTTTTCTTTTTTTTTTTCCTTTTTTTTGTGCTGGGCTGTGCTGATCGCCGCCGGGGGAGCGTTGGAGCACCTTGCGTGGATTTGTTTCGTCAAAGAGCAGGATTCACCTTACGCTCTTTTTCCTGGTCCGGGAGAGCCGCGACTCGTTTGTTCATCCAGAAGGGGCGACATCGATTGGGTCGCTGGGCCGGCCAAGGCACGATGGCAACCGGTGTGCTCCTCGTCGCCTTCGCGATGCTCGGTAAGTCAATCAAGACACATTTTAAGAAGTCTCCTTGTACTGCTGTTTTTTGCATTTCTTTCTTGCATCCACCATGGGTCAGTCTTAACCGAATGTAGACGTTTTACTTTATGGAATTGTCCGTTTAGAGTCAGGTGGAGACTGTGCATCAAATACAGTTTGTACTACTTAGCCACTAAAGTCAATTTATGTCTGTCAAGGGACATAGTATACACTACAAACCATGTCATAAAATACAAAAATAAAAACTAGCCCACAAATATACCGATTACGATCATACAACTATTAAAAAAATATCTGAAAACGAAGGGCTAATTACTGGTCACCAAGGCAACTGAAACCTTTTCAGGCATTTACAGAGCACAGGTTGGTGACCAAGATGTTGAAGTGTCAAGGATACAAAAAAAACCAAACTGCGGCTGCATTGGCAAGCCACTTTAGAAAGGGGCAGTGACTTTTTTTTTCTGTATGAATTTAATAAGCCGTAGCAGTGTGTCCATTTCTGTCCTTCAAAGTAGACTGGACACAGATTGAGCCTACAGGACTAATTATGGCACTTCCTGGCTACTGTTTGTACCTACAAAGACTCCTTGCTTGTGTAAACATCAATTGTATCAAATCACTATCTTTTGAGGGGAATCATTTCAATGACAAGCCAAAGGTGCAGTGATTCTCCAGTGATAAACACGTTACCGAAAGTAGAGTCACTGCAATAACATGTGAGCAGCTGTGCATGTGTGCGCATTGAACTAGGTTAATGTCATATTTAGACCTTAGTCACAGATTAACCCTATAGATGCTCACAGTCTGGGGTGGATTGCCTACTATTGTTTGGAGTTGCCACACACATATATACACACGCACACACATACCACTGACGCACACCTGGATGATAACTCACGTCAGGATGTGACATCACTAAGCTTTGTCATACACTCAGACACCCTTTTGCAAGTTTGTGGTTAACATCCATTTGTCACCCAAGTTCCACTTTATTGGGTGTCTCACACAAGCTATGACACAGTGTGACTGATGGAAGCAAACATTCGTAGACACAAGCTTGCTGGCACCAACGCACGCCCCCAAACAAACACCAGATGGCTTTTGCGCCTTCTTGAATATGGGAGGCCTGTCATCAACCAAGGGGGTTGAATGCTGGCGGGCGGAGGAGGAGGAGGGTGGCTACGGGCCCCAACTCGGCCAAGAGGATTACCGTTTGCGCCTGGCTGCGTCTTGCCGTCCCATTTCAGGCACTTTCACTAGAGCACGAGTGGTTTTCCAATTGATAAAACGCCACAGATTTTATCTACAGTGAAGGCCGGGGGACCTGCTGGTTCTGCTATTACATAATAAAATGAATCACGCGGTGAAATTGGAAGCGGTTTGTGCGGGTGGTAGGTGTAGGTGTGTGTCGGTGTGTGTATGCATCACGGTTCAAGGGGCTTCATGATCTTCTCACAAGGTGACATGTTGCTTGCATTACGGTGGATATCGATTGGGCAATAAGCGACATGTTGCTGAAGTCATTGGCTTGTTTACTTGTCAGTAGCGGGAAACAAGGTAATGGCTAATGCATCGCTTTAGTGTTGTAGTAATTACAATAACGTACGGCACCTCCTGTAAAAGTCAAATGGCCCGTTTTGTGTACAGTTCAGGATTCTGCATTTTTGGAAGAAGAGAAATTGAACGAAACTTGAGAATTCAAACAAATCTTAAAAAAAAAAAACACGGTGAGCATGAAATGATTACCCCTATTTTAGCCACGTCTTTGACTTTTTATTTTGGTCACCCGTCACTTTCGAGTGGACCAAGCCATGCTGCAATTTGTGAAAATCCATGAATAATGGTGCCCACTACCCCCCAAAAAAGTTTATAGGTGCCACAAAATAGCCATTAATACAGGTTGACCCCCCCCCCCTTTGTTCAGCCAACATCAAAGGATTTGTTGCATTTTGCTCCTCCTACTTTTTTGTGACGTCGGTAAGAGTTACATGAAGCAAGCGATTTTTCAAAGTGTCATTTAGTATCATAGTTACGGTAGTGTTTCCTTGTTGTCGTTGGCGTGGTTGACTTCTTTTTACACTTCACACCATCATCAGAGTTGTATTTTTTTGTCTTAGTGTTAACACGATACACTAGCATGACAGTTATGAATTTTATAATGTCTGGACAAAGTTAATTTCAGGAAGATGACAGCTTGACCATGGAAAGCGTTTTTTTTTTTTTTTTTTTTTTTAGTTCTATTATTTCCTGTGGGGGGAAAGCTGACTTCAAATTGGAGGTCAACCAACATCCCGACAGGATTGTGTCCGACCTTACTGTAATTTGGAGCTGTCCATCTTCCTTCTCTCCCAGCTGGATGAGCCAAAAAAAAAACAAAAAAACAAGCTAGTGCCAAGTTGAGCTCCCGGCAAAACTCCAACCGGGCAACCGCAATACGTTTTTCACACAAACAAAAAAAATAAAGAAAGAAATTGAAGAAGCTGTTCTTGCCACAGGAGCCATTCAAGGCAGTCCTGTTACTTCACATTACATCTTGCATCAGGACTTTTTTTTTTTTTTTTGCTGAGTTTGCAACTAGATGTGTGTTTATGTGCGCGATTATTTGTGTGATGTAAACCCGACAAAGAGCAGCGCCCCAAGGCTCACATGCTTGTTAGTTTTTCAAACATGGAGTTAGAGACTCCTGCGTTTGTGTGTGTGTGTGTATGAAAGGTGTGTGTCTATCTATGTAAGACTGTTTGGGGGAGGAGCCAGCCCCACAACTAGGAATATTATGTGCAAAGTATGGTATGAATTTGAGAGAGCTGGATTATTAAATGTTCATAGTCTTGATTTGCACTGCGTGTTTCAAAGAGCCATGCATCTTTTTTTTTCTTTATTTTTTAGCTTGCATATTAGTATATTATTGTTTTTATAATATGAAAACCTGATGTGTTTGAGGAAAAGAAGCAAGGGCAGATATGGAAAAAAAATGTAGAACAGGTTACTTGGATCTGGGAAAAAAAAAAAAAAGATAATTGCTGACGATCTTCGGTGCACTAACGTGGAGCCCAGCCAACTAAAGACTTTAGAATGTTAAGTTGTATTTTATTGTTTAGTTCATGTTGTCATTGCCCGGAGTTGACCTTTCTTAATTGCGGTCAATTTTAGCATCCGTGCATGTGGGTTCTTGTGCAACCAGTCAAATGTATCATTTGAAATCCAATTTTTGAAAAATCTGAATTGTGATTGGGCACTCGGACCTGCAGTGTTAATCTGTAAATGCCTGAGAACACAAAAATGGATCAGAGAGTGTAATCTTGTGGATGTGTTGACTCTTGGAAATCAAAACTTGGAAAATAGCTAAATAGTTTAATAGAATTTAAAAAAAAACCTTGAAAATGTTTAAAGGTTTTTTTTGTTTTTTTTTTTAAAGGCCATGGTCGTTTCATCATCTTCTACCCAGGAACCGATGACAATACTTATGTTAAAATGTTTTTTTTTTAAAAAAGAAACTTTTAAATTACTTCTCGCGCTGAATAATTTCACTGAGTATAAAGCCATTCTTGAAAATTTGGGTCGATCACACAACACAAAAGCACTTGTGTAACCGATATTTTTATATTGTGTTTACAGCCATTATGTGCATCTTCGCGTTTCTGTGTGGTGCCAAAACTCAATGCTCTATATTCAATAATTCATATGTACATTTTAGCGTTTCAAAGAGCTTTGTGGCACTGCTGGTGTGCAATTTGACACCTCCGAAGAGGAGACGACGTTAAGAATGTCAACAATTTAAACAATGCGTGCCCCCCATTTAGAGTGTGACTCTGACACATTTCAAAACGGAGGATTTCAAGTTTGCGCTGCCACTCCCCGATGCCCAACCTTGTTCCTAATGGGACCCAACAGCTGATGCCCAGAACGCTTGTGTGGCAGGGATTTGAATGTATGTGTATGTCGTCGCATCGTGATTATCAGGAGTCAGCTGTGCCTGCACTTGGAATGTCGTCCACGTGTCAGATGACACAAAGGCGGCGCTGTTGGGATTGTAGGAAAAAATTCCATCACTCGTTGTCTTGTGTAGCTCTCCACAAATGCACAACTTTGGCATCGCTGCCCCCTCGCTCCCCCCCTACAAATGTGAACCCTTCCTGTCTTCATGCAAGGACATGTTGAGTCGTGCGCCAGCCTGCGTCTCGCCTCCCTTTTGCCCCCCCCCACCCCCTTCTTGTTATTCTTCCATGCCTGCTATATTCCGTACTCGTGTGCGTCCTCCTTTGCGTCGTAAGATCGTTTTTATGTGCACCCATGACAGCATGCCTTTTGTTCCGTTGCTCGCGTCGCATCATAACGTCGACTCAAGTGACATGGGGGGGGGGACCAACCTGGAGAGGATGTGGAAGACAATCAGCTTGTCAGTCACCCAGCACCTCTGTGATGGTTTCCTGTAAATAAAGATGAAAGCTCATGTGTGTACAGAAAACATGTGTCCGTTGGCTGCGGGCTGAGACGTCTCTTTGTCGACGATCAGTTGTGCTTGCAAAGGAATAGTGTCGTTTGTGTTGACTCTTACATCAGGTAAGGGCCCCCGCAAAGAGGTATAGTAAGTCGGTGAATGGTGTTTTCTACCTACATGGCAATCGACAGGCCTGTCATACAGATTTCGCAGCCACGTACGGAAGCTCACACCAAACGACCACGTTTTACTGCCGTTGGCCTCTCAGGCAGAAATGTCTTTGCTCCCCCCTTTGTCGACAAGGCCCTACTCACTATTGACACATTTCTCTTGGAAAAATCGGTGACGACAAGCTCGTGTGCGTAGCACCTCGTCAGCTGTGGTTGTAAGTGGGCAGATGTCACGTGGGCGGCCACGCACATTTATATCGCTCATTGGAACGTTCGAGCTTACACAAGAATAAACATCGCATGCTAACGTTCTGCTCTTGATACTCGACGGACTCCACTGCTTTCTTTAGCGGTCTCATCACTATCGGCAGCGCTGACCTACATTTTACATCCTAAATTCTAATAATGGTTCCAAGATAATGTATTTATTCCCGGCAGTCTATTCTTTTCACAAAAGGAATGTGAATTACAATTTTGAGGTCCCCCCACATCAAATCAGATGTCAGCCGCTGTGATGCTATGCCAATAAAATCTTCCACAAGCTCTTCAGAATCAGTTCTGGCTGATGTAATGAACCTATATTAGCGATTGGACAATTTCTTTATCAAATTGGATTTCAAATTTGCCTCACAGGGCCAGCTAGCTGGGCCACAGTGATGTCAGCATTTTCCCATCGTTTGATGGGAAGTTCAGAGCAAGCTATTTCTGACTAGCAAATGAATACGTTTAGTAGTCAGTGTCTCCAGTGAAGAGGATAAATGTCATTTCTTTGTCAATGTTTTTGTCTCTTGTTTTTTTAGTCCAAGTGTTGCATTCATTTGTATTGCAGTTTCCCTCCTGTATGTTACGAAGCAGGTAAACCGAACGCTACAAACTAAACTGTTAGTTTAGGGTGACCCTACTGCTGATCATTTGCGAGCAGTGTTTTGAAGAGCGACACTCGCCCAAACCTGAGACTCCGATTTGATACATCCCTCCAGTTCATATACAAAGATAAGGGAGCATGTGAAATGAATCACGTTCTTGAGGGAGGCTTCCTGTCTGCGGCAGTGATTCAGCAGAGAATGGCTGAAACTAAAGCACAAGAGCAAGATAACTGACAGGACTCCTCCACATCCCAACTTCCTGCCAGGTTTTTTTTTTTTCTTTGACATGGCCTTTTCTCCAAAATCCTATCTCATTAATTTGGCAAAGTGACCTAAAAAAAACACCCCCTTGGTGATTCTGTTGGACCACTTCACTGTGTTCTTCTCAGCTGAATGAGTGGCCCTCCAGCTGCCTCCTCCTCCTCCTCCTCCTCCTCCTACTCCTCCAGTGAGTAGCCCCTGACCTCCTCCCCCACTCCAAGTCCAAACAGTGCGCTGCCTAGCCCGGCTCTTCTTCAAACAAATCCATTTAGAAAATGCCCCCACCTGAAGGGCGATCCAAAAGAGATTTCCAACTCCCTCAAGGCCACACATTTTTATCTCTAAATAATATTTTACAACAAAACATTCTCCTCCCTCGAGGGTTTTTGTCATCACACTTTCAGTGAAAAAAAAAATTCTATTCCTTATCAGTTGGTTTTCAACCACATGTCACATGACCGTTACACAATTGTGACGAGTGCGTTAACTCCGCACGGTGCAGAAAACACCGCCGGACAATTGCTTCCTCCTGCACGTGTAGGCGGGAGCAGGGTAATAAAAGGCACAGTGTAACTACACCAAAGCTGTCATCGCAGACAACAAGGTTAGCGACGCCGGTAATTCATTATCCCTGTTGGTACATGTCCACGTTGGCTTGTTTACCTCTGGAAATGTGTTGCTGGATAGGAACGTGCTGAATCTGCGAATGTGCGAGCTTGAGTGCTGCTTATAGGAGTGCAGATCTCCAAATCCGAAACAATACTGTATTGGATCTGCTTTAATGTATCCATGCAAATACCTCTTTTTTTTTTTTTAGCCACAAGAAAATGTTGAAAATTTTGCAATCCAAAAAAAAAAAAGAACAAGAAGCTCTTTCTTGGCACAGGTTGATAAACGGTGATGTAAATGTAAGCTCCTTGGCAAAAGGAGGTGCAAACAAGAAAGAACACGCAAGTTGTTAGCAAATTATACAGTAATGATGTCCTACCGGTCCGCGGACCGGCGGGTGGGGGGCCCCCGGGGGAAAAAAAAAAAAAAAAAAAAAAAAAATTCTGACCTGTCACTGCTTTGTGTTGATGATGGTCCTTCGTTTACTGCCCTGAAGATAAAGACACTTGACTGTATTTTGGACACCGTTTTGGTTAAAAACAAACTGCGTTGTTTTGGGCGACCTTTTCATGACCTGAATCTGCAAACCTTTTAAAACCAGCATCAAGTTGGACTTTTTTGTTTTTTTTTTTTTTTTTTTTGAAGGAAAGATATTTTTCCGTGGAAACACTAAAAGCACTCGTCTGAAAATGGAAGTGGGAACATGTTAAGTATTACATAACAACCATGCGCGAGGATGGAGCAACCAAAACCATGGTGGACCGCAGGATTGTTGTTTCGACGTAATCTCGCAAATCGTGCATTTACATCGCCATCACTTCCACCAACAAATTCCAGGCCCATCTATGCACGAATAAAGGCTATTTAAAATGTATACCAGTGTTTTTTGTGGTAGGTGGCCGGGCACGTACTCTGTATAATACAGTTGTTCAGTGATTCTTACAGATTACCAGCGAATGAGAATTGTTTTGATGATTTTGTCAAATGGACGCAAAACTTTTCGAACGTCGTTTAAGCACACGCTGAGAGAGGCTAGATTGACACAGAAGATTCTCGGGCCCACTTTCAATTTGGTGCTCATTTGTGATATTTTAAATGTATTCTTTTTTTTTTTTTTTTTTACTGTCCCATTTCCTTGTTTACTTCAAGTTCCGTATCACATTGTTGATACAACTCTGTTTACCCATGAAACAACCCACCTGAGGCGGCCCGGTGGGCCAGTGATTAGCGCGTCGACCTCACAGTGCAGAGGTCGTGGGTTCAATCCCGGCTCCGGCCTTCGTGTGTGGAGTTTGCGTGTTCTCCCCGTGCCTGTGTGGGTTTTCTCCGGCTACTCCGGTTTCCTCCCACATTCCAAAAACATGCACGGCAGGTTTGTCAGGATGAAGCGGAACAGAAAATGGATGAATGGATGGATAGACACCCCACGTGCTCCAACCTCCAAATTGCAGGTCAATTTATGACAAGTACTGCACAATGACAATGTGGTTTTGTTTTTGTGTGTTGTTTCGGTAGACAAGGGTGAAAATCCAGTATCACCAAAAGCTCCCGTTGACGCAGTCAACATTGACGCTGCAGTTTCAGTGGCAAACAGCCAAGACTTATTTTCAATCCACATTTCAGAAACTTCATTCCAATAGGAGTTGCGCAATTTTTCTCTTTTTCTTTGTGCCACCTGAATACAAACAAATGTTATTGTGTCACCTGCTCACTTGCAAGCATGCAATATATAACAAGCCTAAGGCTATTTTTTTTAATTTTTGGGGGGTGGATATTACCATTTCTCACTACAGACGCTCCCCAGCTAACGAACGAGATACGTTCCGAAGGATCGTTCGTTGGCTGAATTCGTACGTAAGTTGCTTCAGTGCTATATTTTGTATGGAATGCATGTTTAAGGCTTATATAAGTATGTTTAAGGTTTATATAAGTATAATAAAATGAAGTTTAACTTACTTTTGGAAGATGTACTCCAAGGCTTCAGGAGATGATGGAGGGGGAGAGAGTTCCGTCTCGAACTTCTTCATGGGGACAGGCGTTTCCTCCTCCTCCTCCTCCTCTCACAGCGCCTCACGTCGGTATTAGCGGTGGAAAGAAGTACTACAGTACTCGGAAAAAGGCGCGCAATACAAAATCTAACTGACAGCATCTCTGTCCGAGAACATTTTTCAACATACCTGTACCCGCAAAAATGTTCGTATGTACCGTTGTTCGTAACATGAAAGTTCGTAAAGCGGGGAGCGCCTGTATTAGCAAGTATTGGCATCATGACAGTGATGGGATTGATGAATGTGAAACGCTGTCATGTTGGTGTTTCAGAGGGGCGAATCTTTGTGTATTTACCAGCTGAATCCACCTTGGACGGCTTTGCCAAGCAGTCCAACTAAGACCCATCCCCCCCTTTGGGATTTTTGTCTGCTCCGCCCTTCTTGCTGTCAGGCTTTGAAAGTGATAATGAAGGGCCAAGCCAGAGGCTTCCGCTTTACTTCTTTTCACACACACACACACACACACGCACACACACACACACACACACACACACACACACACACACACACGCGCGCATGCACGCTCACACGTATGCCGGATCGCACATCACAAGATGCTGCTATCATTCATTGTAGCCTTGCTCCCCACCTTCGTGGATGCCACACTGGTGGGATTCTCAGCAGGTCTTGTAACTATGGCGACCACTCCCCACCTGCGACGAGATGATCCATATTCAGTAGCTCACACTCCCGATGTGCGCGACTAATTGTCTGTATGCGTTTTTTTTGTTTGTTTTTTTTAAATTCTAAAATTACACTTTTGTCCCTGTAAAGAGCATTCCACTCAGACTGCCGTTATGCTCCATCGATGTGCTTT